GAGGGGGGGAGGGTTCAGGGGGGTCTCCCCCCTGACAAAATTTTATAGATCTACCGGTCCGAGATTCTCCATTGAGAGATTCGTATTAAAAATGGGAAAATCATAAATTCCTAAGGTTGAGACATAGAGGCAAAGTCAGTCCGCTGGTCCGGTATTCTTCAATCTTACCGGTGAGAATAGGGGTGGCCATTCTAGATTCAGTGTAATTATGAGAACAACCTTCTAGATCTAGATCTAGATCTCTAGATCTAGACAGTATCTAGAATCTAGACAAACACAAGAGGACTGGGAACGACGGGTCCTGTGCCTGTGGTGTAGGCATGTCATACTCATACATCATGTAGGATGTAGGCTAATGTAGGCTAAGCCAGCCATCGCCATCAGTATCAGCCTCAGCAAGATTTCGGGCTAATGTAAAGAGAGCATGCTGACTGCAAGAAAAAAGAAGTCATAAGAAGCAATTACCATTGTTAAACTGCCGATTTGTTGTGGCCACAAAGCCAGAGGTCACCTCGTTAGCATTCATTGCTTTCATAAATGCACTGTAGCGAGGTAACACGAAAGGGTGCAGTCGGGGAAACCCCCCATCCAACTTGTTATCAGGAACGATGAATATCCTAATGGGCAATGGCAGCTTGGGGGAAATCAGGAAGCTCGCTCGTTCTCCCTTCCTCTACGCGGTAGAACAACCCCCGAAACACTTGCTCGAATTGACACAATTCCAGAAATCGAAAGCATCCAAATGACCAACATGCACTTAATTATATTGAGCAAAATTCCACCAAGGTCAGCTCATGATACTGTGGCTATTTGGAGAGGCACGTCATAACATGAAGGTTTGCCAGGGCGGCCATCTTGAAAAGTAGTTCCAATCAAGATATGCTATTACGCCATTGAAATCATAATCTACCATTTGTCTCGTTTACATTTCATAAATCTATTATTTCATTACTAATATCATACAAAATTCGACAGTTTTTCCAATCTTACAACTGATTTGGATTAGTTATCAATTTTTATTTCGCACTACATGGGATTGGGGAGTCTTATAACACAGTGAAAAAGAAAGTGGAAACAATCCCCATAGGAGAGGAGCGCAGCAAAGCTAACGGAGCAGAACACACGATAGAAAAATAATTCATTTATGCTCTTTTCATCTGTTTTTGCTGTTTTAATGTGATGTTGCTCGGTATATTTTCAAAGTGTATACCACTGCTGCTTTCCGTTCAACATTTTTTTGCTTTACGATTTAGCACTGAAAGTTTGTTATTGTCAATAACCATATTTGGCATTAGGCATGTATCAATGCTCCAAGTCAACCAATGAAAGGTGGTGAAAAAATATGTTGACAAACTTGCTAATTCATCTCTTCTTTTTTTTAATAATGTTATCTATGTAATTATTGCAGACAAAAAAAATAACGGTCGAATCATCGACTTAACTAACATACTTTATCTCAGTGACGGAAGATGTATTCTTGCTAAGAGACTTAAGAGTCAACTCAACTGTTCATCTGAATGTTGACTTAGTTATCTACGCACACGACTTACATGCGCGTGTCGTCAGCATTCAGCAGCCATAGCGAAAAGCACGCAGATCCGAGTGATAAGAAGCCCACATGTCGACCTCATTAGAATTATCCGGTATATTGTATGAATGGGAATATTGTTGGCCTTCATCGCAGGCTTCGTATTTGCAGTCAAGATAATCAGCTGACTGTTCGGACTCCGGCCAACAATGCACAAATTCCAACTAGCGAAAGCCAAGAAACGTACGTTTACAATCGTTATTTCACCAGTATGAGTATGATGCACAGATCGCAAAGCTCAGGACGTCACTTCTGAAATTATAATAATATCGTAAATCCGTGTTGGTTTTGTGATTAATTTTGTCAGAGTCCGACGACATGTTTATGTATTTCCTAATTTAAGCTGTGGGCGTGTTGACTCCCCTCGAGTATGAGTTTCAAACATTAGAAAAGGCATTCGTTAAAAAAAAAAACCCGAGAGAATGATAGCGTATTTATTTTATACCGCTGATCTTAAAAAAGACAGTATAATATGTTACAGTAAGAATGCGTACCTAGTGAATACGCCTAATCGCTGAATATTTTAGTGAATACACGTAATCCCCGTTTCACTCGGGGGTTTCACGTAATCACTGAAATTTCTAGTGATTACGCGAAATCTCTAAAATTAGACCTATCATTTTACGTGTTTTTACTACCG